CCACACCGGCACCGAGGCCGCGGCTGAGTGGCGGGCTGTCGAGGCGCCGCCGCCGCCTCCCCTCACGCCTCCCCGCGTCAACAGGCGGGGATGGCGCTGATGGTGCGGATGACCGAGCTGGCGGTGGAGCTGGCGACGCAGGCGACGGCCAAGCAGCGGCAGGCGTCTAAGCCCGGCAAGAAGGGCGGCGCCGGCATGGCGGCGATCCTCAAGGAGGAGGTGCAGAGGCTGCAGGAGAATGAAACGGCGCTCGAGGAGATGGTGACGGCGGCCTTCCCGGGCATGTTCACGGGGCTGTTCGTGGACCGCGACAGCGCGGAGGAGGTGCGCACGAGCTGCCTCTCCGCGCTGGGCCGCGTCATGCAGCTCCACCCGTCCATGTTCCTCGCCGACACCTACCTCAAGTACCTCGGCTGGTCGCTGAGCGACATGGCGGCCGCCGTGCGCGCGGCGTCCCTCTCGCAGCTCAGCGCGGTGTACACGGCTCACGGGGCGGCGGAGGAGATCTGCAGGGTCGACGGCAAGCCCGTGAGCGGCGCCAAGCGGCTGCTCAACTTCACGCGCCGCTTCGAGTCGCGCTTCATCGAGATGACGCGTGACGTGGACGCCAAGGTTGCAGTCGAGGCGCCGGCACGCCGAACGGCCCGGCCGGGCGCGCGAGCCGGCGGCCACCCGCGCGAGGGTGCGAGCCGTAGGCGATCAAGTTTGTCGACATCCTCCACGACCTCTACCTCCTCGCGGACAAGGCGAGCCTGCCCTCGCCCAGAGCCAGAGCGCCCCTCGATGCGCCAGGCAGTTGGCTTGAGCCCTCCCCTCCCGCCCGCAGGCGCAGGCCGTGAGCGAGGCGGGGCGTGTGATGCGCAACAACGAGCCGTCGCAGCTCGAGGCGCTCGTGCCGCTGGTCGACAAGCAGATGGGGGCGGGCGCCGCCAGCCTGCCCTCCTCCGGCAAGAGGAAGGGGAAGAAGGGCGCGGCCGGCGGCGCCGCGAGTCAGCCGATCGTGCAGGCGTGGGACACGGCGGGGGTGGAGGAGGAGGCGGGGCTGGGGGAGGAGACGGAGGTTGAGGAGGAGGTGGAGCAGGGAGAGGAGGCGGAGGCGGAGAAGGAGGAGGAGGAAGAGGAGGAGGGCGAGGAAGAGGAGGAGGGGGAGGAGGAGGAGGAAGAGGCGGAGGAGGAAGAGGAAGAGGCGGAGGAGGAAGAGGAAGAGGAGGAGGAGGAGGAGGGGGAGGAGGAGGAGGAGGAGGGGGAGGGGGAGGGGGAGGAGGAGGAGGAGCAAGAGTCGATGGCGGAGGAGGAGGAACGGGAGGCCGCCCAGGCCAACGAGCCGCCACCCCTCGACGAGGCTAACAAGGCCGGCAAGCAGGCTGGGGTCGATACAGACCGAGTCAAGCACTTGGCCGACACCCTTGGCCCAGATCCGGCCGGGGAGGGGTTGGAGCGCTTCGCCGCCGACGGCGCCGTCTGGAGCTGGGGCGGTGGAGACTATGGCAAGCTGGGCCACGGCGACGAGCAGGACCAGCTGCTGCCCAAGAAGATCGAGGCCTTGGCTGCCCAGCGCGTTGTCGCTGTGTCGGCTGGAGGTGCTCACAGCCTCGCCCTCACCGCCGACGGCGCCCTCTGGAGCTGGGCCGCCGAGCGTCTCGCAGGCGAACGCCTCGCCGTGCTCGCGCGGGCGCAAGACGCGATCGAGCAGGCGCAGCCCTCCGAGCAGGCGGCGCCGCGCCGCTCGTGCCGCCTCGACGCCGCCGCAGCAGCAGCGCCTTCGCCGAGCACGCCGCCGCCCGCCCGCCTCCTCGACCTCCCCACGGACCCCCTCGTGCGCGCCCTCTCTCGCTGCGACAGCCCCGTCGACATCGCTCGCGCCGCGGCCGTCTCACTCGTGGTGGATACGTCGGCCGACAAGATCGCCGCTGAGGAAGCGGGTGCGGCGGGTGCGGCGGTGCACGGCGCCATGCCGCTGTTCGTTGCGTGCCAGAGCAACCACCTCGAGTGCGTCCGGCTGCTCTTCGAGGCCAGCGCGACCGATGCCGACGACGCGTCGGTCGATCGCCGAGCGGCGAACAAGGACCGCTCCACGCCGCCATGAGGCGCGCGTGCGACAAGTTCGAAGAGGGCTCCTGAACTGCGCCCATCGCGCTGAATCATCGACATGTGCTACTTGGAGGCCGCGCGCGTGTGCGGCGTGCGGCTCGGCGACTGTATATTAAGGCGCTTGGCGGGTTTCCATGGCGCAGGAGACCGGCCAGCGACCACGACTTCATGTGCGGCCTCGAGGGCCGAGGAGAGGTAAGCGAGCGTAGAGCTCGCGGGGCGGACAGGAGAGAGATTCGGACGGGAAACACATGCGACGCCGCGCGCTTGGGCTGCAACCCATCTGACAGCGCGAGATGCGCTTGCGGCTGGGATGTACCTTCGCCCCCAGAGGCTAGAAGCACTCGGGAGTGAGTCGCGCGCGAGAGAGGTGTTGCGTTTGCAGAGCCGCTGTGTGCAGAAGAGGAGAATTGGCGGAACCCCCTTTGCGCGGCTGTCCCGCGTGAAGACCCGGTCTTCATGTCCAACATGTCAGTCGTGTTGCGCCTCTAGTAGTGACAACGTGCTGGCGGGGCATGCCAATTGCGCAACGCATACTACCGGCCCGCTCTGCCGGGGATGCGTGTAACATGTCGAGAGTGTTTGAAGTCTCGCGCCTTGAGATGTCCCTCTGCCTCTGGCTCCAGCCAGTCCTTCACCAAATTTGATGAGCACAGAGAGCAACTCCCACGTAAGCAGCTGCACCTACCCGGGCTACTGGATATCCAACCCACTGTGGCCTCAGCCTTCGTCATTGCCTCCGAAGCTTGCGCCCTGGCTGCCGCATGCTCCCTGCCGCACCCGCTTTTCAGCCTCACATGAACTCACATCCGATTGAAACCTCGCTGCTGTCGCCACCGCCACTGTCGACTCCGACCACTGCATGCGGCTCCAATATGTCCATCGGCTCCTGGTTGAAAAGAAAAACATGTGATAAGTAAAAAACTGT